TATTCATCTGGTAGCGGAAGACATGAGGGCTTCATTCGGCTTCCATCCATAGCTTCCCTGACTAAGGGTTTTCATGAGATTCTGCACAATCAAAAACTCTCTGATTTCTCAACTGAATGGACTGCCGAATGGAAGGCAGCTGCAAATCTCTGCGGATGCCTTCATTCCACAAGAACCACAGTCATCCTCATTAGCTTGTTTTGCAATACCTCCAGAGTGATGACAGGCTTGAACATCGTATAATAGATGGTAATCTTGTTCTTTAGACTCATTTTAGATCTTCTGTTGATCAGAGGGTACAGACGTGCTATCCGACCCTCGATCTTTGATTTAATGCACATTATGTGCGGGTTCCAAGTGAGCCTACGGTCTATTAAAAGGCCGAGGTACTTTGCCCGCGCTTACCAGTCAATCTCCCTTCCAAAGATTCTCACTTTTCTGGCCGGAGAAGATAGCAATCTTTCCATGGTTATCGGGTTCACTCGGATCTTCCAATCAAGGTAACAGCACTCGAGGTCGTCCAATGCATGTTGCATGTAGACGACGCCGAGCTCCCGACCCATGGAAGACGAGAGGAGAGCCGTATCATCGGCGTACAGAGATATCCTTACACGCTCGTGCCTTGGAAGGTCACTGGTGTAAAGAGAATACAGCGTAGGGGAGAGCACAGCCCCATGTGGCTGTGTTCTCTGTTATCAGACAGAGAGCCCTCTACTCTAACCTGAAAAGCTCTGTCTTTCAGGAAAGACCCGATCCACCGGATCAGGCCCCGAGGCAGGTCGAACGCGTTCAATTTGTGCAGAAGGCCTTCGTGCCAAACACGGTCGAAGGCCTTCGAGATATTTAATAGCACAATATGCACTTTCTTGTTATTGTTGAGCTCTTGGATGGTGTTTTCGACCAGCTTCAGAGCCTGTAACTCAGTGGAGTGATACCATCTTAGATCTCATGCGATAATCAGGGGAAGGAAGATCATCGCCCAATACCAGGATTACTGGATTATGATCGGAATCCAGTTCTGACAGAACGCAAATTTCGCTATTCAGAGATACGTTTCTGAGAATCGCGATGTCTAGTACGTCAGGCGTGGTCTGCCCGCGATAGTACGTAGGCTCATCTGGTCCCAGCACAAGATATTCATGCCTGTCAACGTGCGCATGGAGCGCTTGGCCGTTTCGATTTGTGGCTCTGCTCTATGGTCTCTGCTTGGCGTTAAAGTCACCAGCAGCAATTGTCAGAGTGTTGCTTCTCATCAGAAGTTCATCCAGTGATTCAGGGAGTAATCGATTGTTCAGGGGATTGTAGACCGAGATTATTCTGTGGCAACCCCTACTCAGTTGAATTTCGACACCTACAACCTCAGTTCCGTGTAATCGGTCACTGTCAATGCCGTATTAGACACACTGAAGGGATCTTTTGGCAAAAATACCAACTCTCCCTCCAGCACGTCCAATACGTTCTCTGTGAAGAAATCTGTAGTTTGTAATGACAATAGATTCGTTCCTAAGATGTGTCTCTTGGACTAGAGCCACATCGATGTTATTCTCAATTAAAAAGTTCTCAAAGTCAAGTTTTTTAAAACAAATGCCATTAGCATTCCAAAAAACTATCTCCAGAGATCTAGGCAACGTTGGTTGTCTAGACATTGGCAGTTCCGGTTATCACGTCGGTATTCACCGTGAACATTTTCTGTAACACGGGGAATTGCACGAACAACTTTTTCATCTGGTCCAATGCGGCACAGATGTCTGAAACCCCCTGCGTCTGAGAAGAGGGGCCAGGTTGAGAAGGGGTGGGCTTTGCAGTACAGCTAGCACCCTTGGATACAGCCTTAGCAAAGCTGACCCCTTCCTGGACGCGTCCAGACCCCATAAGTCTTCCTGAAGGGGTGTGCTTCCCTTTCTGCTGTACCCTCGGGTACGCCGGGCAGCCACGGTAGTTGGCGGTGTGTGCCCCCTTGCAGTTGTTACACTTCGGGGGGTCAGTCTTAACCTTTTGCAGGCACTAATTAGATGCCTGCCGGCGCACTTTACGCAGATGGGGACTGCTAAGCAGTTGCGTTGGCAGTGGCCGAAACGTTGGCATCGGTGGTACTGACCCACCGAAGCTTTTGGATGTTGGGGTTCAAACTGAACCTTCATGCTCAGGAGGTCTTTGACTTCAAAGATATGCTTCTGGTCCCTGCTCAGCAGAACAAGAACCATTGGCAAGGGCATATTGTAACGCTTCATGCGCGTCACTGAAGCGAGGTCAAAACCTCTGGCTTCGAGCTCCTCACGAACATCGTCGGTCACCAGGTGTTCTGGCACGCCCCTGAAAACGGCACGAATTTGCCGTTCTTCAGGGAGCGAGTAAGTGCGGTGAGGAATTTTTTCCTTCACCAGAAGTCTGGACAACCGACGATAATCGTCAGAAGTCTCAGGCTGGACTTTTATGCCGTCATGCAAGTTGACGGCTTTGGGGAACTTAATGTTCTCTTGAGTCGTCAACTTCAACAGGGATACTCATTTGTCCTTCTGGCGGACAACAATTGGTGGGATTCTGGCTTTTTTAGCCGTCGGATGTTGATTTTGTTTAAGTGGGCGGGGGTACCAGGCTCCTCCCCGTGTGCTGACTTGACAGTACTTCCCGAGTTTGAAACACTGTCGTTTGCTGTTATGATATCAGTCTCCATTTCGTCGTCACTTTTTAAGTTGCCACTAGGAGTGGCCGTCTCATCATCCCGATTTTAGGTCATTTGATGGGAGGTCTCGGACTCGGAGTAATAGTTCCAAACCTTGTCTCTAACGTTGTCGATAATTGTCTTTTTGGAAATATTCTTAGCCTTCTTTGGCTTTTCTTTCTTTATCCAGTCGCCTACTTTGCGGCTGGATACATCTGGAAGCGGAGGAAAGTCATCGTTGATGCGTCGCTTCTTCGACGTTGAGGAGGAGAAGGAAAGCACGCCTAAGTTGTCGATGATCTCCCTGTTTCGCAGCTGTCAGATTTTGACAACTGGCCCCAGGGACTGGCAATGTATTATCATGCAAATCTGCCTGGTTCAGGCCAAAGCACGAGATTAGTTGACAAACAATGCTAACAATCTCGGCCTTTGCCTGCCAGCCAGACTGCGAAGCAGTTCCTCCATACTGCTAGTCATTTATTGAAACGAACGAAGAACGTTATTCAAGCGTGAACACAATGAACACAAACGAAAATGAAAATATTTAAACGTACTCACCGAGAACCGCTGTAGCCTGCTCAACACAAGACTAACGCACAAACTATCACAAGCCAGAAACACTGAAGTTGCCTATCATCAACCAGGCAACTTAGCAAATACACATACGATAAGCTCGAGCACATCGGCACTGTTCCGCTGTCAAAACGGAAAACTATTATGTATCATGTATCCTGGACTTATTCCTCCGAGATACGACTATTTATAGGCTATTCGAGTGCTTTCACCTATTCCCTCTTTAGCGGGAGATGATCGTTTGGCGAGAGTTGGTCGTTTTTCGTTTGATTAGAGGTTTCCATATGTTACGTATCTCTACGCTAGCTTGATTAAATGCGTTGTTGGACAACATATACGCGGCTTCTTCTCCTAAACCAGTGTTCTTTTTCGTGGATGATTTCAGCTTGAGTCCACTTGATATTATGTTGATTAGTCCAAATATGCTCTGCTATTCCGGATTTGCTGGTTTCTCCTCACTGTGTGTGTTTCTTGTGCTCAGCGAAATTTCAATGGCCTCTTAGTTTCACCGATGTATGATTCTCCGCACTCTCAGGGTATCCGGTAAATGCAATTCTTGGAATTGCATCCGGTATCCGGTAAATGCAATTCCAAGAATTGCACCGGAAACCCTGCAATTCTTGGAATTGCATTTACCGGATTGCTTTGACATACTTATCTTGATAACAGTGCTCTTTCACAACCCGCAAAGACTGGCGATTTTTTTTCATGAGGGAACAAATTGAAATATCCATACATAGAGGTCAGGCCTCTTCTGAAGTTTCCTAAGTGACTGCTTTTGTTTTGATCTCTAGATGGACATCTCACTACTATCTTATTGGTTGCCTCATGATATCTGAGCAAATGCTTGTTTTGTACTACGGAGAGGTAACTCTAATGGTGCATTAGGTCCTACGTCATATATCTATCGATAAACAGAATCTCCTTGCAGCTAACTATTCCTCTCTTCCACTATATATCAGTTGGAATACTCTATCAACTCAGAGGAGTATTCGTGTGCAATTGGCTCCTGTTGATGAGATTTCTGAAACCAATGAAGATTTACTCGAAACAGTTGAATCACTCATCATACTGAAAATAATTTGTAATTATAAATTTATACGTATCTGAATGAATATTACCATTACTACCATTACCATTACTAATGAATGAAAACCTGTCAGGAAAACAAGGCTTTCATCACAACGGAAATGGAAATTTACATCTGAATGAAGTGTGAAAATTTCAGAGTATATTTTTGAAATGAAGGATGAGAAATAAAACTTCCTATGTTTCTTCATGATGATTTCCTACCACGTAGTAATGGTTTCATCCATCAATATATGTTTGAAATATCATAAAAATATTGATATATCACTGTTATTTGTCATTATTTATAAAAAGCTCAATAACATATTCATCTAGTCACTCAAACTGATTTTCTTTAGGCTTTGTATGTGTTATATGTGATTTTAAACATTCTGGGTCAATTGAAATGTGTATCTATTTGTACATAATTTCTTCGTTCAACATCTGTCTATGTTTACATTGATTCATTTGGGCATCAAGAAATAACATTAATAGAAGTCATTTCCGATCGTAAAAGTAATGAACGTACACATCAAATAATTGTCTACTGTAGAATAATTTCAGCAAAAAATGGGGTAACAAAACAATTTTTTCAACTGTAAATTGTTTTATCTGGTATTGATATAACTATCGTAACATGGTTGTGTGTGGATTCCAAATCGAAATCATATAGTTGATATTTGTCTTTTTTTTCCAGTTCACGCTCATCCTGGTGCTGGGATTAGTTATATCAGTCAAAGGCGAACAAATAGTAAATGAAGTCGAAGATAGAATAGGTAAAGAAACAGAATCTACTGATAAAACTACCTTGGAAAAGTCCCAACCATATTCAAGAGCTAAAGACGAGCCTTCATTTTTTTCTAAAGTAGCAAACTGGTTCAATCCATTTGGAAGTACTTCAGAGAAAAAGAACGATTTAGAGTCAGCAGAAACAGGATACAGTGGGTCATATTATCTCCCCCCTTCATCTCCAGACAGTAGTTATGAGAGAGATTGTAATCCATGCAATCAAGAACCTTGGGTTCCTATAGCCGGCCATAAAAAAACCATCAGCTATGCACCTCTAAATGAATATCCAAGCTCGCTATCGGATATACATACCGTCGAAACATTTTTCGCTCCAGGGAATACATTCAAAGGCACTTCTAGTATATTCAGCCTACCATCACCATACTTCAAACAAAAACTAGAGCATGACTTCACTAAGCCGATATATGGTCCACCCAGATCAGAATACGGACCACCAAGGGTTGAATATGGACCACCCAAACCCGAATATGGAACACCCAATCCTGAATACGGGCCACCCAAACCTGAATACGGGATACCCAAACCTGAATATAGGCCTCCCAAACCTGAATACGGGCCTCCCAAACCAAAATATGGACCACCCATACCGGCATATATTCCTCCTCCCTCGAAATTTAACAGCGCACCAATATTGATAGCAGACTACATGCTACCCCCTCCGATCAATTTCAAAATTCCTTCACTGATATACGGACCACCAAAAGATAGTTATGGTCCTCCAAAACCAGTATATGGTCCACCTGGTTTGAAACCAGTCCATAGCCCACCACCTCAAAAACCTGTTTATGGTCCACCTACAAATCAGAAATATGGTCCGCCTCCAAGCCAAAATTACGGACCACCACCTAGACAATACTACGCTCCACAACCTGCCCCTAATTATGGGCCACCTCCAAAATATGGTCCGCCAAAACCAGTTTATGGGCTTCCATTATTGGGTCAAGCTACGCCACAGAATTTGCCAAAGAATAATGTTCAGATACCACCAGTGATATCTCCAGTACTTACCAAAGATTTAATACCTCCGCAAGGCGGAGTCATCAACATTCCACTCCCAACAAGTCCAACTGTGTTTTCTGAAGTAAATGCTGCCGACCACGTTCCACCTGCTATTCCCTCTGATAGCTACGGTGATCCAGTAACTGGTGACAATTTGGCATTCCTAGTACCTTTTGATACAGTATCCGCTTCGAGTGGAAATAGCGATGTTTTCAATAGACCTCTTTCTCTAACAAATCTGAGCCCTGTGCCTGTATTACCAATGTATGAATTCAAAAACTTCAATCAGGGCTTCCGTTCGAAGAGTTTAGATTATCAACCACCACAACACCAGAGCAATAGCGTTCAGATACAAGAAAGCGTGAAGGTTGCTGACTATCTGGCTTCAATAGAACACCCTGTAAGTGTAGTCCAATCGCCGCTCATTGAGTTATCAGTCATGGAAGAGCCAGAGAGTAGAAATCATCGTTATCCAGATTCGGATAATAATTTTCAAGGCGAAGGTAACACCGGCCCCGTTTACAACAGTGTGAGTCATCATATCGAAAAGAAATATAAACAAAATGATGATGGAGTTGAACATATTAAATTGAGTGAAAATCCTATTATAGTGGAAGATATCAATACAGCGGCAAGCAACATCAATAATACCATAGCTCTCTCCAACAGTACTCTTGTTAGACGCAACAACGATAAAAATTTATCAATCGTATCGTTCAATGAAGTTGATAGCACCAAGTCTAGCAGTAGTAGTGCGAGAGATGAGGAAGATTTGATAAAAAAACTGCTTTTAGAGCAGGGTATCCTAGGAAATCCGAAAACCGAAGTCGTTGGAATTAACAAAATTGGCCAGAGAAATAGCATTTATAACTTCACACCGTCTTCAGTGGATTACACTAATTGGGTTCCAACTCGCATGCACCCTATATCGACGTCAATGACACCTCCACCTGTGAACACCCAAACAACAAGACTCTGGCCTCTGTCCAAACCATCTCCCAAACCAATTCAGATAATTGTTCCATACACCACCGGCAAAAAGTCGATTTCGGTCGCACAGGATTGGTCAGTTAGGAATGATATCAGGAAAACAAGCGAAGTATATACTACTTTGGTACCTGTGTACACACCGCCAATGCCTACAGAACAGTCTGATTGGTCCAAATTCTTGGACGACTTCAATTTTTCAGTTTCAACGAAAGCGAATGGGAAACCTTTTTCAAAACCTACCACTGCAGTTTATAATATCAAAGATTTGCTGGGGGCTGATTATAAACATAATGGGGGCCATAAAACACTACCATACGATATCATTTCGCTACAGAAAAATATAGATGATTGGACACACCAATCTTTCGGGAAGAATACTAGTGAAAAATTTGTAAGAGCGGCGGCTCAAAAAAATATTCCGAATGGTTTTTTCACCACCCAAAGGTCCAACTTTGTTGACGTCACTTCCATCAGAAACGACTTATTCGACTATCATCCTGCTAGTTCAACGCGAGAGGAGTCGTTTGTGAATAGTGATCGGGATATCGAAACAAATCTTATCATTGCAGCTGATACAACGACGGATGCGTCTACAACTACTAGTGAATCGACAACAACTTCAGTTTTTTCGAAATACCAAAACTCCTTGTGGGATGGAGCCAGTGTTACTGTGTCACCACATACCAAAGAAAAAGTATATGTTGTGACTCCACAAAGTTACAGCTTCTATACTTCAACTCCCGCGACAGCATGGAGTTTATCACCAAAGATTGAGAACGGGAAAGACAATAACGCCACATTTGAGAGTCACAAATTCAGTGTGAGGGTTGAACCTCAGCTCAGAGAGCCAAAGAAGATGAGTGAAGAGGCGAACTCTGTTAAAGTTGTGTACAGCGAATGGCCCCACATAAGTAAGTACCTAAATAAAATATTTTATTGGTTGATGTTTTGACAAGTTGAAAGTCACGTGATTTATGAACATACACAATAAGATCACGTGAGCATGAACAATAATAAAACGTAAGTTGCATAAGTTACTGAATCGATAGGTATTATACAATATGTACAAACACTGTGTCCATGATAGTCCAAGAGCTAGAGTCGAACATGACTCTTCTGAAGGTTGATATTATCGGATTAGGTTACATGACCGTGATGGAATGTTACTGTAACCTGTAGAATCAGGATTTTCTGTACATCTGTCAGTCAATAAAAGTGAGAATGTACTGATGTAGTCCTATCACAAGTAAGTCTGTCTTCAGACGTTTGAGATGGAGGAGTGACGTTATTGAAAAATATCTAATATTTAAAATTTTTAGTTTTATGAAATATTCTCCAATATACTGGGTATCCAGTAGAATAATAATTTGACCATAACTTTTTTCTGAAACTCAATGAATCAAAACTTGAATCCATAAATTTGAAAACAAGCACTGTTACCAAAAAACCTGAACTGCAACAGAAAGGTGAAAATTTGCTAATTTTGACAGAGTGATTCATAAAAAGGTGAATAATGAGGTGTTTGTCATTATTCGTAGTTCCCATGTCAAACTTTGATATTTCCAGACCTCAATGGAAAGCATCCAAAAATCTGGTGTCATATACCGATTTCAACAAATTCAGATAGTTATCATTCATTGTATGATTTTCCTAGTCTCCGAAATGGGATATATGCTGCGTGTTCTATGAAAAGAATTCAGGTATATCCCATAAATCAGTAACATATATCTCTAACTGTTCATTTTCCAAAATTTTGTCTTTGAGTTAACCTAACTTTCATTGAAGTGAGCAAGATGTTTTGAGGGCTACTTTCAAAAAATGCGATCTGATCCTTTGGCGTATTTTGGTCCATAAAGAAGGAGAATAATCTTTGAATCAATGTCTTTTGGAGAAGTTGAAAATTAATGAAAATTTTTCCTGGATAACGTTTTCTGATCAACTGATCTACCCGTTGCTTGCAGCTATGTCTCTGGAAACATGCTTTCAATATTGGATCTTTGCTGCCATTTTGTGTTGTGGACAATAGTGAGCTCTCAGGAATATATCTAAAAATCCTGGTATTTCCGAACAGAAATCAAATTCCGGATTCTGGTTAGATTTCTATGTGTGAAAAATACTAACTACAGTCAGCTGTAGTCGGTCGGTAGCCAAGCGGTTCGGCGTGGGTGCTTTGTTCACTCACTCGAATTGACCGCCTGTTGGTCGGTGGTTCAAGCCCTAGTCTGAACGATCGATCTTCACTTGCTATCGTCCAACCCGTGTTAGGAATCGCATGTTAAAAGGTAAGACCTCGATAATCCTCAGCTCGCACAAGTTTCGACTTCTGAGGATTGTCGTTCCTAGGGGTACGACAGCTGGCTAACGGAAAAACAGATTTTTTTTTAAACTTGCCTTTTACTTCCACTTGAAAACACTGAAACAATTTTTTCTCGATTTTTCCAAAGACAATATAATATTCATCATTTTACATTTGATTTCCCCGTGAAGATTTCTTTCTAAAAATGTGAAGTTTCATGAGTATATACCTAGCGGTTCTAATGAGTTCTACCATAACAATAGACAAAATAAATTTCGATAAAGTTATTCTTCTCAGAAAATGATTTTAATTGATTATGTTTTTCCATTGTTGGAAAGTAATCTGATTGGAAAACTGATTCAATGTTTGAAAATAATATTTTTCTCATTCATTTTTTTCAAGACAAACATTATATCATATTATAGAATCCACGTTATGGTTTCATACGAAACCTGGATCTGTTTTTTCATATTATCAATTCCAAATGAACCTAGTTGACGAAATGAAATTTTCCATGGAACGGTTTCAATAATTTTTAGGATATATCATGTTCAATAACAATTTTTACTTGATCAAGATTAAGTCTTTTGAAAGAACTATCTCTCTCATATTCCCGAAAGGCTTGAAAAAAAAGTTTCTACTTGAAAAACATCAAGATTTTTTTTTAATTTTTATTCACCTAGCATTATATAAAAAAATGTGACGAAATAATCATTGATTAAAACAATTTCAGTAAATAACCTACAAACAACCACGATTAGGCCAACATCACGACATCCACTTTTTGGATTGATGGATATTCCAGCGTACACCCCTCCTCCTAACACTACAGTGGAGACTATCCTAGGTCATTCAAAGGTAAGATATAACCTCATTTTTCCTCACAATTGAAAATTTTTCCAATTTTCAGAAAGGGTAGAATAACCATAGTTGGAATAATTGAAATAAGAAGTGAGAAAACCAACTAAAAGTCAAGTAATCAATCAATAGTTGAAACAATGCCACCTCACCTGAATACTTCAACTAGGAGCAGAGTCGATTCTGAGTTGACCTCATTTTCCATTAGAAATTCCACGGGTGAAATGTAATCCTTGGAACGGTCTCACTTAAGAATCAAAGTGACGTGTCTTTCGAATGGGTGGAAGTTTTTGAATCGATATACTTTACTTATCAGGGGAGATTGTAGATAGGCACCTACGGCCTGATGACTTCGACAATTGCGGAATCAGCCAAATGTTACACCCATGCTCAATTCCTAAAGACATGGGATGGAATCAAAGGATGCAATCTTGCCAGGATCACCCTGGGCGACCCTGGAAAGCTGACGTCGAAGAAATATCTGGCGATGACCAGGAAAAATCTACGCTTAACAATAGGATTTCTGAGTGGCCACTGTCAACTAAGGAAAGACCGCCATAATATGGGGCTAGTGGACACACCTCTATGCAGGATGTGTGAACAGGAAGATGAGACTATCAGGCATGTCCTATGCGAGTGCCCGGAGTTATTGTCAATAAGAGAGTGTGTGATCGGCGAGTCTTGGTCTGCAAGTGACCTGCCCACCTTCCTGGAAAGGGCAGGATGGACGATGACCTAGGAGGACAACTCCTCGGAAGGATGTACAATGGGTCACATGTGGCCTAAGTCCACCCTCCTTACTCTACAGATACAACTATAGATAGGTCTTGAAGCTTTTCAAACTCTTTGCAGTCCAACCTATGAAATGTTTTGTCCATAACCGGTATCTATTTGCGGGATATTTCATTCCGAATTGTACCTGATTACCACAGTGTATGTGAATTCTTATAGTTCAAAATAAACGTAACTGGCGACCATAGCAGAGGATTTAGTACCAGGATCACCCTGGGTGACCCTGGGAAGCTGGCGTCGAAGAAATATCTGGCGATGACCAGGAAAAATCTACGCTTAACAGTAGGATTTCTGAGTGGCCACTGTCAACTAAGAAAAGACCGCCATAATATGGGGCTAGTGGACACCTCTATGCAGGATGTGTGAACAGGAAGATGAGACTGTCAGGCATGTCCTGTGCGAGTGCCCGGAGTTATAGTCAATAAGAGAGTTTGTGATCGGCGAGACTTGGTCTATGCCTGCCGATATAAAGGAGATGTCTCCAAGTGACCTGTTCCCCTTCCTGGAAAGGATAGGATGGACGAGGACCTAGGAGGACAACTCCTCGGGAGTTGGACCACAAGCTCTTTGTGGTCCAACCTATGAAATGTTTTGTCTATGACCGTTATCTATTTGCGGCATATTTCATTCCGAATTGTACCTGATTACCACAGTATATGTGAATTTTTATAGTTCAAGATAAACGTAACTGGTGACCATAGCAGAGGATTCAATGATCTTCCTTAGGGACCAACGTTTTCGAAAATTGAATCCGATTTTAGCTACTTTGTATCGTTTACTTTATCAATTTGTTATAAGTCCTAATTGCTACAGAAGTACTTTCAATGTCCCCTGCTGCATATTCGATTTTTATTTCATAATCTATAGACATTCAATATTCTCTCCATGGATTTTAAATGTCACGCCGTATGAATTAGTTGACGGATGGGGCGGTTAGATCAAATTCCTACCTCAGAGTGAGGGTTGAAGATAATTCATTTGTGAACGACATCTAAAATTTTCATTTGAAAATGAAGCTCTAGAAAAATAGCTAAGCTGAACTCCGCTCTAATAAATAGTAAAATGTTTAATATTTTGAAATAAGGTTATTCAATACCTCACCAAAATTTAATTCATTTTTTGATTGTTGAGAATGACACTGTTTGTATTTAGTTGTCATACCAAAATGTTGGGTATTATTAAAATTGAAAAGTTGTAGAAGAACATAATTTTTTTGAAGTGTGTCTCTTCTCTATGAAATATTACATTTCTCAATTTATGATTATTTCATTTCCTTTCAGTAAAGTGAAATAATAAAAAACGCAAGGTACCCATACCGCGGTTTCGGTAACTTAATGAAATCCGCATCATCATTGAAAACAACAAAATTTTCAAATGATCATCAATGATAGTAAAATATCACAAAGACTCATGATGCCGTATTGGAACATACATAATGGTATACCTCTATATATTTTGAAAGGATGCTGTGAGTGATTACGTTAATTCGTTTCTACCATTTGATATTTTCCTTGACCTATGGAAAATTTCTGTGAAGACGCCACTTCACAAATATGGTAGGAAAATTGGTATGAAAAATTACAGGCCAATTTGAATCATGTATGCACCAGCCAAGTTGATGAAACAAATTATTCATATAAAATTATACAATATCTCCAGCAAATATTGAGTCATACAACATTGTTTTATACGAGTCTAAAACATAAAGATGAACCATATATATCTTAATCTGACGCGCTTGAGTATTTCAAAATGGCGAATTTTTTTTTGTACATTATAATAATGGCCGCCAGTTTGCGTCAGATCGAAATCGTCAGATTATTGAATGAGAGCTTTTTTTTGTTGCACTTAACACCCCCTCAGAAAATCTGACGCGCGCTCGATTAAATGTTTTTTCCTTCCACTTTTGACCCTTATGTACAACCACCCACATCATGCAAACGATCCAACATTATTAAAAATACGTAGGACATTGATGCTATCAATATCTGACGCGCACGAGTATGTCCATGCAACATTTTTGTGAAAACGCTACTTCACAAATATGGTAGGAAAATTGGTATGAAGAATTCAACATCTGTTGAATTAGTTGTCATTTATTCAGTCTGTTTTGCCAAATCACCATGAACGAATGTAGCATTCAACAACACGTGCAAATAATAAAATTGTTTTATTAAAATGTCGGTTCTGTTCAGGCAACGTACCGCGCACTTTGCGCATTATAAGGTCGCCATCATTGTTCTATTCGCAATGTGGTGGATTAATTTGAGTCCACTGGTTCAGTAAATGATCGATCAACAGCCGTATGTCGACGAAACGTAAGATCTACCGAAAACATCACCTCTGTCCGTGAGAGTATGCAGGAGAATCCAAGGCAGTCTATTTCGCGTCGGTCAGTAAACTGGTTCAGTAAACGGTCGATCAACACTTGTACGTCGATGAAACGTTAGATCTACCGTAAGATCTATTTCGCGTCGCTTACAAGAAATCGGCCTTTCGCCGACCACAACTTGGCAAATTTTATGTCGTGACTTTGGCCTGCACTTGTACAAAATTCAACTGACCGAGGAACTGAAGGAAAACGACTATAGACAACCACGTGTGTTCGGTGAATGGGCTCTGGAGCAGTTAGCAACTGACCCTAATTTTCATCAAGAAATCATCTTCAGCAATGAGGCCCATTTCTGGATGAATGGATACGTGAGCAAACAAAATTGTCGAATTTGAGACGATACCTATTCACATGAAATTCAAGAGCTTCACTATAAGACGCGAATTTTGATCCATATTTCTTTGAGAACGACGTTGGCCAGGCTATCAGTATCAACGGTAAGCACTATAGGTCGATAGCCTGAACTGGATGATCTGGACACCAACGGTTTAAATAGGATGGCGCTACATGCTACACAGCTCAAGTCACGTTGGATATTCTGCACGAGCATATGAGGGCATGGTCATTTCATATGGAGGTGATGTGAACTGGCCACCGAGATTGTGCGATTTGAACCCGTTAGACTTTCATTGTGAGGTTTTTTCAAGTCGCAGGTGTATGCGAATGAACCACAAATCCCATGCCATACATACGCCAATTTCAGCCTTATTCGTGCACCAGTCATGGCATAGAAAATTTGACATTTCGGATGCGCTCCACCCAGAGAAGCGAACATTTGAATGATGTTATATTCAGCACAAAATGGTATCAATAGGTCTTCCAAATGAAAAAAAAATCTCGATGATTTCCCACACACCTTGTTATTTTGATATGAAAAATGTTTCATGTTGGTACTTACTAGATGGAAAATTCTATTATATCAAAATACCACATGGACCAAGATATTTTGGAATGGAAAGTATGAAAAATTTAATGGTTACATATAATTTTTTTTGCATTCCATATCAACAATATGGTCAGTTCGGCAAACAAAACGTTACAGTTTTTCCTGAGGCAAATGTATTTTTTCAACTCTTTCTTGTTGTGTGTGATTGATGACTTGTTTATTTTGCGGTAATTCATGATCACTTCAATGAAATGAATAACCCGCATCCTTAATAACCCCCTTTCCCAGAAACATATTGTGTTTTGGTTCAGATATGTTGATGACGTACTAGTTGGTTTTGATGGTTCAAACAAACAAATTATTCAATTTTTAAACTTTCTCAATAGTCTGCATAACAATATTAGGTTCAAAGTAGAAATTGAATATAACAAGGAGCTTAACTTCTTAGATTTGAATATTTCAAGAGTCAATAACGGTTTTCCATTCAATATCTACCGGGAAAACATATTCACAGAATGCACAATTCCCTTTGATTCTTTCAGTATACTCTGACATAAATTATCCGCGTTTAGGTGAATAGTACACAGAGCTTTCACAATCCCTTTACCTGAAAAGAATTTCCAAGATGAACTAAAAATAATTAAGCGAATTGCAGTAAAAATTAAATCAAAATATAGCTCTCATGAACTCCTAAAACTTTTGTATGAAACATTTTTGTATATCTCCTTCAACAAACCAGATATTGCCTGTCACATAAAATGTGGGACACCCGGTATAGAATAGAGTGGGGCGAATGCTCTGCAGTATATACTGACCAAACCGGTAGAAATTTTGACATGAGGCTGCATGAACACGTCTGTTTGGACAAAAAATCTACAATGTACGAACATCTTCAAAAATCAAAACACAAAGCATAGAAAGATAACCTCAAAATCCTACAAATATGCAATAAAGGGAAGAAAATGAATTTGTTGGAAGCCATGGAAATTAACAAATCAATTAAAAATCAAAAATAGGCAACTCGATTTATGTAGGTCTCCTCTCTTGAATTTGTCTATCAAACTACCTGTCTATCAAATACCTGTACTTACTCCTGATAAAAGTTTTATACTTGATACTGGGGTCAAACCTGAAACCGGTCGTATAAATAAAATCAACTACTGGTAATTAGACAAAGGTGTTTTTATTTATTTCATTGAAGTCTTTATTTGTTACTTTTCAGCTTAACATCCGCGTGTTTCTAGGGACCTAAATGCAAGTTTGAGACCTATATTTAAAGTATATTATTCAAATCGATCCAGGTTATTGAGCTCGTAAGGCTTTTCTGTATAAATTAATAAATGAGGTTTATGTGAAGGAGTCGTAAGTTTGCAATATCAATAAGTTGTAAACATTTTCATCATCATTCACTTCATGCACATGAAGATATAGAAAACTTTGAAATTATTTCAATTTGTGTATTGTATTCGAAAAACACTTCATTGGATATTTTCACTAAACAGTTTTACAAAATCGTGTTTCGCTATAGAATAGCTTCTTCAGACGTGTCTTTAGGTCAAGTATCGGTCGATTCCGTCACTTATATAAATTGTATTAATTAACCAATGAAGCTTCAGAAAATCCCTGCAAGAAATCACTCCCAAGCAATTATTTTTTTCTCTGCATTTTTTCGAAGAGGAGTAGAATTAATCCTCAACAAAGTTCCGACACTGGATTTCACTTACAATTGTTCTGATTAGAGAAACTCGCCATGATGAAAATCTGCATTGTTTTCCGACAATTAGGCATGTTCTCACGAAATGATGACCTCGATGAAATTGCAGATAAAACTATATACGGGTTAAAATTACTTACATTTCTCTAGTACATTATTTATGGCTAATGATTATCCGCTATACTTTATATTTGACGTGGTGTATTATTAAAACATCTTACTCTGAGAAGTTGGATGACAAATTTGTTGGGAAACAATCTACTTACAAACTTTTCAATTGAAATTTGATCAAATATAACACAATTTTCTTGCCGTGAAAAACCTTTCAACATGTGGTACACCGACGCATAGTTTGAACTAATAATAGATAAATGCAATCACCAAATTCAATTGTTCATTCTGAAGGAATCAGTTTTGAATCACTTATTTATCCTGGTATATATTCAAAAATGATTTACATCTATATCACCCTACTGAAATTTGTAAATCAGACTTTGTAACACTGACTTCTGTATTTTTCATTCATTTAGATGAGTCTAGGATAACTGTATGAAAGCTATTTTCCGGGGTTTTCACCGTAGTCTACTGGTTTTATGCATGATGTTTCGTCTAACACTGCGGTAAACATTATCAAAGGCAATGCGGTAACGATCGCCTTGCCTGAGTTGGTGTTTGAACCAGAAATGAACCAGAATATCTTCCATAAAATTAAGTGACTATTAGAACGATCTGCAGAAATTTACCAAATCAACTTTTTTCATCAATTTTCTTAATAAAATAATATTGTTAATATCAAACTACATTTTTTTTTATTTTTCAGGTCGTAACATCTGTAACTCCAGTACTAATATCTAAGGAAAGCGATACAGAGTACAAATCATCTACAACCAGTACAGTGTAAACATCATCATTCAATATGTTTCATCTGCACTGACAAGATAGTGATCATTCAACTAACTTAAACAATCACATAATGTCATGAAGAAAGGACAGATTTCTGTATTGAGGACACCAGTGATAGTGATAGTGTTTACGAAACAATGAACTGGGTGTTTTGAATATGCATTCAACCACATAAAAAATTGATTGAAAATCCACATTTTCAGTGAAAACAGAAAACATGCTTCAACAATGCTGAATCGTAATGAATAGTTTTGAAAGTATAAAAAATAAAAATTACTTCATACTGTAGACTATACATCCGTGACAAAGGGATCCTCTTTCTATATTTTCTCAGACTGGCTTACTTGAAGACTATCAAGCCAAACATTTATTTTATCAGCAAAATACAAGTCCAGCGTTAGACCAATAAATGATTTTCATTGAGCATCTTCCTTGGACATGTCACTTGTTGTCATCTACTGGAATACCAGTATTGGTTGAAACTGTAGAAATGTTATAGTTGATAATTATAAACCAAAAAAAGGTTAACATCCAATTACTTGAAATTTTTTTGTCTTTTCATATGTCTCTATATTCAATTTTTTTTTTCTATTTCTCAACATAGTATCTTAGAAAGTATAGGCCCTGGTAAAGATAGAGTTTTTTCTTAAATCTAAAGAAAATTTTGAACATAAGGAAAAATTATTTATTTATTTACTTCAGAATCGAGCAAACATGATATATGTCTGTTTATTTTTCATTCATGTAACTGATTTGTGATAGGGTGATATCTTTTTTTAGTATGTGGAATTCTTTTTCTCTATGTATACCTTTTTTTGGATTCATAGAGAAACAAATATATATCCTGATAATTCCATCAATATCAAAGAGATTAACTCTCTTACATTATTTGTAATACTTTGATATTCAATTTTGTAGTTATATTTCAACATGAACATTCCATCAGGAAGGTCGCCGCTATTTTCTAATGAATTTCTGCAAACGAATAGTAACCTCAAAGCTTCTTATCTCTTCAACTATAATACTTACTCTATATGATTTTGTTAGTCTTAGTTAGTCTTTAATGAAGCATAGTATTCGTTTTTTGTTTGTTCAATATTTCCACGAAGAAATGTAAATTATTCATTTTTCTATAATCAAATGATATTTGATTATAGAATCGATTACAGATGATACCATGATGTAGGCACAAGTTGGCTTCATTGCATATGTACAACAGAAAAGATTCCTGTCGTTTGTTTTCATGAAAATGGGATTGTATACTGTACATAATATGAATTTCTCAAGATAATCAACTTAAGCTCACTTTCGCACCTTGTATATTTTTATTTGTATATAACTATTATTGAGAATACATCAAGAGATGTGTGCTCTATAATAGTGACCATGAAATTGAGCTTATCAAAAAATATTTATTGTCATTTATGTTCTTACTGCAATATGTTACTTCCAATATAGTTTATAATAAATTATGAGTACAAAAACTAGTAATTGTATGTTTTACTGGATATGTCTCAATTTGAATCATAAAAATTTGCATACTGAGAAGTTGTCCATCCACTATGTCCCAACAATTCCACCGATAATATCAAACAGTAAACCTATGGATATAGATAATTTCATAAAGAAACTGAGTATTATTTTTGGTGCTTCTGAAAGTTACTCACTTTCATGATTCCAAACAAAATTATTATACTTTTGATGCAGGATTTGAAAGAAAACTATTTTGTGTATGATATCATACCATCTGCATCACTTGATACTCTTTCACTATTCAATTTCTGATATGTCCAATAGTATTTCGAAAAAATAATCTATACAAAGCCAACAATTTTCAGGAGAAACAAACAGCTAAGCTTTTTTCTTCTACATCATTATATAAAGGGAAAACTTCCGAAGAAAAAAAAGACTGCCTCAATGACAATTCTTTACAAGATGCGTGTATCATGCATAGAAATTTCTTTCGTATACAAAAACTCTGTTCAAATTTATGGAATTGAATTACAAGAATTCTTTATCATTCAGTTTGTATTCAAACATTCATTATGCATTTGTTTGAAAGTGGCTGACAATGTTTCAAAGTGAATTCAATTACTTCGGACTTCTAATATGATTCTACTATGATTCAAAATATATGAAAAATAAAAAAAAATTAGAGTGAATAGCTGAAATATCAATTATATCAAACGATAAAACGTGAAATAAAAATACAGTAAAACGAATGAAATAATCAAGGTACAAAATGAAAATGACTACAGAGTGAAAAAAAAACTGAAAAATATAAAGAATAAAAATAAGCAAAAAATAAATTGAAAAAGATTCCAAACCGAGTTACTTCACGACGTTTCGATTGTTAATATCCACAATCGTCTCCGGGTGATGACTAGACTATTCCTCCAAGAGATGACCATTTGAGCGCTCTCTTATTGCACAAGCTACTAATGATCGTATCGTCTTTACTTCGGATACAGTAAGGCCATTACCAAAAGCATCCGCAAAGAAGTGATATTGAAAGATCATGAAGCAAAACAGAAACGGACCGAACCTGAGCAAGTTAAGAAAAGATTAAATGGAAGAAAAGGCAAGAGAAAAATTTTGGAAGGAATAGAAAATACTTAGCAGGAATCAGAAGGGAAAGAATGCTACTATATTGTTTGCTTGGCACCATATTTAGAGAACAAACCGGAGAAAAGTGGATTCAATGTAATTCGTTCAATCAGTGAGCTCACGAAGAATGCACAGAAGGTGGTCTTAGCTACTTTTGCCACAATTGCGACTCTGAATACTCTGATTGATCTCTAGGTTGAATATATTATTTGAATTCATTTTCAATGTTTATTTGATTCAAGAACTGTTTTCTTTAATTTATTTTGAACGCTTATTTGATATAATCACCAAATTNATGAGTGTTTCAGAAATATTAAAATCTTGTAGACTAATTAATGTCATGCAATAATTTCTAATATGATTAGTATTAATGACAAATAAAACATGTTTAATTGTATTTTTTTCAACTGACCCCAATCGCTGTTTCAACCGCCCCTGGCTTGAGGACAGTTGAAACAAATATTGAATTTTTTTTATTTCATATATTTCTGAAAATAGTAACCCGAGAACGGTAATGATACAGCCATATCGTAGCTGAAACTTTGAATTTCACGTATCATAATCGTCACTTGGTGTATAAACAACAAAATTATAAACGATGAATGCTAAATTGTTTCAACCGCACCCAGTCTCTCCTACTTCAGTGAGAGAGCTGTCTATCCCTTCAGCTAATTCTGTCTTCTCTTTCTTTCGTTTCAATGATGAATCTTATCATTCCATATACTCTTCTCCATACATTTTCACACGATATCATGGAATGGAGAACCCGTTTCTAATTGGTATTCTTGCCGAACACTATTTCATCTCATGCATATGAAAAGTGTGTGCTCTTCCTCATCTATTTTCCACAGTATGGGCATTTCTCACCTTCCGACCTCAGTCGATTGAACAAATATTTCCTGAAACAGTCGTGCCCAGAAATTATTTGTGTTATGAAATAGTCCACTTCACCATATACACGTCTAGTCACTTATGTCTAGTATCAACCGATGTGTCATCTTCCCGTTTTTCCGTTTATTCACATGTTTTGCCAACGTGACATAAGGTTGCTTTTTGCGGTTATTCAATCACTCCCTGTATATTTGTCCCACCTTTCTTCAATAAGGAGTTCTATAGGGGGTATTCCAGCTATAACCCCTACTGCATCTGTAGATAGTATTTTATAGGCGAATCATATCCTAATACAGAGTTTGCGCTGAATGCTGGCAAGTTTCAAAACAAGTTTTTTGTTACTGGTCACTGTGTGCCAGGCTAGTGCAGCATACAATATTTGAGACTATGCTACACAAAATAGTACTCTTCTTTGGGATGATCTAGCTGCTTCTATATTTAGCATAAGAGAAGACAATACCCTCACTCTCTCGATGTGTCCAGCGGCGGTAAGTTCAGTATCTAGTCAGACTCCTAGGTATTCCACTGCTTTTTTGAAAGCAACGCAACATCTTGTACATCAAATTGGACAGGTTTTATTTTTATTTTTGTTGTAAGGGAGGCTGCTTCTGTTTTTTCTAGGGCTAGTTCAAGTTTCTTGTCTTCAAAACCAGTTTGATACACTCCAAATCGCAGTGTTTGCAGTGGTCATTAGACTCTCTTTATCATTGGTTTTCACGATCATAGCAATGTCGTCAGCGAATCTAATCTCAGAAAACCATCATATGAAATGTTCCATAGCATTGCTCCTAAAACGGATCCTTGAAGAACACCGCTACTGATTTATTCTGTTCTCACAGTATCATCTGCCTCCAATATGATCGCTCTTACTGGCAAATATGACCTCGTTAACACGACTCCTTCTCATGTCAACATGGCAAATTTAGAGAACATTTCTGAAGAGCTGGATCAGCTAAAAATGTGAATTGATAGACATAATGATAAAAAAAATGGTGGTTGACTTGAAAGTTTGTAAATATTACTGTAGTTTTTTCCCAACACCAAACCGTTATTTTGACACCTTGACACCTTGATAATCAAGTGATTAAACTCAGTTTAATCTCCCTCACTTGGTGATCGAAACACGTGTCGAGGTGTTGAAATAATGGTTTGGTGTTGGGAGAGAACGCCAGTAATATTCATTAAACAGTGCATCACTAGTAAATAATTGAGAGTTAGTGACTTAGTTCGCAAAAATGTAGATGGCTGGGAATTTTTTGATTCAACAAGTGAAGAGTTGGAACCGGAAAATAACAGGTCAGGATCAATGACAAAATAACTGAACAATGTTCAGTGTAACTAGGTATGTGTTTGATGATTTTAATTCAGCTGATTTTCACTGTAGATCAGAGTTCATGAGAGGTGGAATAAGTATGTATACAAGAAGCTGTAGCTCTTACAGCAAATTGAGCTCACCCAGTGGCACAACTGATTTTTTTTTGACAAAATAATATATATTTTGGACTACATATATAAACCAAGTAGAAATGTTACAAAATGCGGTGATTTCAATTGTCATTCTTATACGAAAGATGCATATTTTAATGGGAAATGACCGTTTGACGAGAGTTGGCCATTTTTCGCTTGATTATGGATTTCCATATGTTGTGTATATCTTCGCTACATTGTTAAATAACATGCATGCTGCTTCTTTGAATTTCCTCCTGAACCAATGTTTCTCCCTGTGTATGATCTCAGCTTGGGACCACTCGATGTTATTGTGATAGGTCCAAACATGCTTTGGTATTCCTGATTTGCTGGTTTCCCCTCGCTGTGTGTGTTTCTTGTGCTCGGCAATGCTAACATTCAATGGCCTCTTAGTTTCGCCGATATAGGATTTTCCGCACTCACAGGGTATCCGGTGAATGCAATTCTTGAACTCGCAGTCCGCATTTAGTGGCCTTGTTTTCGTGAGGCTGCTACGGATAGTGTTTCCGGATCTGAAGCAGGTTCTGATGTTGTACTTGGATCCAATTCTTTTTATCATTTCCGATAATCCTCTAATGTAGTTGCTCTTCCTTGCGAGGCCTCTGCTGTCTTTTAGCCAAAGTCTGTACCACCATCGCTTTGGAGTAGTCATTCCGTTGAAGATCATTTTTGATGATGTCTAGTTCCTTCTCGAGACCTTTCTTCATATCACAAAGCCCGAAAGCATGGTTTAATAGAGTCTTGATGATTCCTTTTTTAGTAGATTGATGGTGGTAGGATTCGTGGTTCATATACTGTCTCGTGTGAGTGGGTTTTCGGTATAAAGATGTTTTCCACTTGTGTACGTCCTCTTACCAATACGTCTAAAATAGCAATTCGTTGTGGACTTTCTTCTTCATTGTGAAAGTGATGGAAGGTCTTACGGTGTTGATGTGTTTCAGTTCAGTATTCCCATGGTTCCATATTATGAGGCTGTCATCAACGTATCTCAACCAGACACGAAGTTTCTTGTGAGTTTCTTCAATGGCCAGAGTTTCAAACCACTCCATATATATGTTGGCTATGTCTGGTGAAAGTGGCGATTCCATTGGCAGTCCCTAATCTTGTGTACAGAATTCGTCCTTCAGTTGGAAATAACAGTTTCGTACACAACATCCTAATAAATCCATAATTACTTCTAGGTATATGTAAATTCGTTCTATCTTCCAGGATCCCGTCTTCGGATAACTTCCTCTGTATGATTTGAAGTGCTTCTTCGACCGGAAAGTTGGTGTAAAGGCTTTCCACGTCGAAACTGGTTAGTTGATCTTCCTGTGTGACTTCAATTACCCCTAGTAGTTCGACAAAATGCCTTGAATTCGTCACAAAAGACGATGTTTTTCCTTGTAATGGTTGTATTATCGGGAGTAAAAATCTAGACGAACTACTCTTATGTCAACATCGAGTTATACAACAAACACTTTTCCTTATTCAATTTATACTCCAATCATTCGATATGGATATCAATGACGCAATTCGATGT